TTTTGAATGATGGCTCAAAACGTTGTATTGTACATATTTTTTCACCCAAGTACAGTGTTTTTGAGCTAATTTTAACTTTTATATCAACGTCTTTGCGCAAATTTTTATTTTAAAAGAATATAATAGAAATGAAATCATTGTAGTTTTGATTGTTTTGAAATGATAAATTCGCACTCTCTAAACAATGTATAATTTGGTAATTAAAAGAATTTACTTGACTCATTTGTTTATCACTGAAATTCTATTTAAATTTAGTGCTTTTGCTACAAATCAAAGATCCTATTAATTTAGAAAAATCAATTTTCCTTTTTTATCGACTTCTTAGTGCAGTTATTCAGTCAGCTGTAACAGGCGGTTAAGGAATGCTTACCCATAAAGCTACAAAATTTTAATTATTTCTTCTATGCTTGTGCCTGTCAAGCACTCCTTCAAATACTGTTTCTTCTATATCTACTGTATTCTATTACATAACTGGTTGTCCTTCAAAAGTTTAAAAGCTATAATTTGATTAAATAATCATTTGTAATTCAATACAAAAATAATGTGTGTTAGAGCGAGACGGCCCACTTAACAGATTTGAATGGCGCCATACCTAAAGCAGAAAATTCCAACAACATAATTTCTTTCAAAAGAACGATATGTACTACAAAAAATTTGTTTCACTTTTGCTTTATCACCGGTAGAGGGCAATTAGACAAGGCATATGAATTAAAAAAAAAACATTGAAAAACAACCCTGAGCAAGTTACCGTCACTCTCCAATGTTCACTATCTTTTTTTTTAGTAGACACAAGTGCTGTGGTTTTTTCAAATAAATCTCCTGCTAGTTATCATTTGCTCATTGTCATATAAATTTAATAACATGTGAACCATATATTTCAAAATTACGATGAAAAAAATATTTTGGAAGTGGAGTAACGAAAGTTCATTAGGGACATCTGAAAATGAAACGAAAAAATATTTTAAAAAAAGTTTGATTTTTACAAGTAGTTTTAAAAGTAAGACTGATTTAAAAGTTGCCGAAGTCACTGTCACGTACAGTATGTTGTATTAAAGTTATTTTTTATTTGTATCTAAATTTGAAAATATTTAGGCATTTTTTCAGCCTTCTGTACCATTAACTCTAAAAATTAACAAAGAAATCTTTGTCGTACTGAATTACAATAAAATCAAAAATTTGTAAAAATTTTGGTCGCAATATTTGGCAGGAAAAAGTTTAGGGCTGCAACAAAAACAACAATAATTTTGAAGATTTTCTCTTCTCCAGCTTGATCATCGTTTCTAGTAATTTGTCAACTAGCTCAAGTGCCGTCAAAAGAACATTATTTGGAAAGAATTCCACTAAAATTTATAAAGCAATCGTATTCATGAAATTTGCAGATTTTTTAATCGTATTTTTTCTAATAACTTTGTTTTCAACTGTTCACTTGAATAAAACTATGACCAATAATTTTCAATGCTCCTAATCTCTTCTTAATCTATAAAAACTGTAACTGCCGATAATATATAATTTCAGTAAAAAATGAGAATAGAGGAGAAAAACAAACATTTGTAACAATAGTTATCACAACCCAATTACACTGCATAGTGATTACGTAAATATACAGTATATAAATGCGTTTCACTGTTGTCTTCTATCAAACATCCGTACCACCGCGCTCTGACGCATGTGCCGCCAGGACCACAATGGTACTGACAACTTATTCTATCGTCCCATCTTGAAGAAAAAGTTTAGTCAAAACTAAAAATATATAATATTAGAAATACAATTTCTGAACTCTTACTACAGGAAGGGTTAAAATTGGTAACAGTATTGTTTGTTGGGCTGCAGCGTATAAAGTTGGAACGAGCGGAATCACTTTTTTACCTTTACATGCATAAAAATCCAACGTTTTTAGTCACCCAGAAAATGCTCAATGAAAAAATTTATTCTATTTGTATTACAGTTGTTTCCCATATCTGTCTCTCAGACGTTTTAGAAATTTTTTCTTCTAGCCTATTTTCACACAACTATTTTCCCTATATTTAGACAAAAAATTTATAGCGAACCTAAAAGCATCACAATTTGTAATAAAATTTTACCTCTGCAGCCCGAGACAGAAAATAAAGTTTCAAGAATTTTTTGAAAATTTCCTACTTTGCTACTGCAGCAATTTTAAGCCAGTCAAAAATTTTAACACCGAATAAAAAAATTCAGTAAATATAAATAAATATTATGTTGACAAGCAAGAACAGAAAAAGTAGGCTATACCAGACACATTGGCATCTAACAAAGCAGAATAAGTAAACACTTGCTGTAAGCCAACAAGCAAACTCAGCTGCATCTTTGCTATGTGATACATAAACAGTAATGCAAATTAAGTAGATGAAAATAAATGAGAAAAGCTAGTTGGAAGCAGAAGCTTCAAAAATCTGTGGTCTTAATGTAAATAGCTCAAGAAATTCCCGATGAGTATCCAACTTAAGTTATGGCCTTTACTCCGGCTGCTCCTTCTAATTAATCGTTTTGCTGTATTTCTTTCAACAGCTCTTTGACTCCACATCCAGTACATCTATTACATGGCTTGCGCAATCCAAACCCGTTTGAAAGTTGTCAAGATAAAAAAATTATCTATTTACTGCAGAGTTTTCTTACCCTGTTGGTGTTCTAATCCTCAAGGTTTCTGTTTAAAAAGGCTGAGAAAAGAAAGTGAAAAGTGTTTTGGACGGCAAAAGGCTGCCAACACATATGACTATAAATTAGAAAAATTACGGTAAAAGAAATTAAAATTTGGATGAGTCCTTGAAACTCTACAAGCATTTGACTTAGAACACCGGTAAAACGCATCTCTGTCACAGAAACGCATCGGCGCTATCGAGATGTATCAGAAGCAAAATATTAGCGATCATTAAAACAGGCTGAAATTAAACTGTAACACAGACTTAACATTCTTGATCCTCTACAGTCTGACCGCTTGCTTTTTAATTTTAGCATTTATTATTTAGCCAAATAAAAATAATGCTCTACGAAATTCGAGTTGCTGAGTGCTGAATACAGTGAGTTGCTAAACAGGCATTTTAAAATTAACAGCCAATAGTTTTTTTCACAAGACACCTTAGCCGATTCACCCGTGAATATTCTCAGCCAAAAATTGCATCAAAAAATTCACTGAAAACAACTGCGAAGCATTTTCTAAACATTGTGGAAAGCAATTAATTATTTTAATTTTTCCTCCCCAATTGAAATTTTACAGTGGTCAAATTGAGACATCCTCAGTTAGCGCTCGAAAACGTCTTATGCTGTTTTCCGTTCTACTAAGTCCTCCTATCGCCCCCACTTCCCAAATAGCTAGTAAAGAATTCAAAAGCGCAGAACATATTTATTAGACCTTTATATTTCCAGTCATGTTTTTACCCAGATCGAGGTAACAGAAACAGTTGGCTCTGTATCTTTTAGTTAACATTCTGTAAGTGATTTTACAGTAGAATTTAGTATAGCCAAAAAACGAAACCAGGCTTTTGTAGGACAAAAAATGAATCAACCATTTCCCTGAACACTGTAGGACCAAACCCCTACGTTAAACTGAGTGTGGCTTAATGATATGCTAAGTGGTACATTGACTGAGCAAACAATTTTCAATAAATTTCTTTTAGGTGCAAGAACCGAAAACATTACCTTGCAACTGTCATGAAACTTCAGAATATTCTCCAATTACTTTGAATAACAATTGTGTCATTACATCCCCTAAACGTCTTTTCTTACGTTTGACAAAACAAAGCAAACACCGTAACTGCTGAAAAACGCTTCGTACTTTTACAATATTCCTTATTTCTCCGCAGTCCCTGTAACCGGGGGAAATTCAGCAGAAGCCTTGCTGTTTCAAGACCAGTAGAATCAGATTTGTGACTGCGTTACGCCGCATCTTTGCTCTTTGCAGTTAAGCGATTTTTCCTCTACTCTAGCAATAAAAAGCGGCACCCAATCTTTAAAAAGTTGCTTATATTGAGAAAGCCTAATAAAGTTCCACCGAATATTAGAGCAAAAGTTCCAACACAAGAAACCATTAGAGCTGAGAAGCATGCAAAAATTTTAACAAATAAAGTAATACGATGAAGGAATTGTTCAGCCTGTCGCGTCAAGCAAACACTCTCAAGCTGGAGAGAGGGGAGCCAACGTATCGGGACGATTTCCTCAAGCTGGGAGACGAGAGGAGATAAAAACAGACCCGTTGTATCTGCAGGGAAACAACTCCAAACTCAACCAGGGATCTATGGCGGAGAAAGAGCCGGCGGGATTTGATCAAGGCTAGATGTCAACCCCGCCCAGTGCAAAATGACTAATTAGTGAGGAGAAAAGACCGATGAAGAGGAGACGAGTCTATCTACTTACCTCAATGATTAAATGTATTCATTTTTTGATGTTTTAACTTCTTTTATTTTTTGATATAACCTTCTATTTGTACGCTTTGATTTATGATTTTTGCTTTTAAGGTTCAATTACTCAAGTTTCAGGGTTCGCTGTACTAATATTCGCTTAATGAAATAAAATCATGAAAACCCAAGACCCGCGTGGCAACATCTTCTCGCATAGTCAAGCAAATTCTGAAGATATCTACCCAGAAGACCGAAAAGCATTTGAAAGGAGTAAAAGGAAGAAGGAAGAGAAATTTCAATTCAATTTATACAGCTAGTACCTGTGTTGAAGGCAGCGAAACATAAACAATATGACAAAATATTCTAACAACTGGAGACGGACAAAGCTCACGAAGAGGTGCAGTTCATGCTGATCCTGTTTCTTTACCTGCCAAGTTAAGAGTGTTTCTAATGTTTTGACTTTCCCTCTTCACTGCCCAAACGGCGAAAATATCAGCCTTTTCTCTTCTTAATGATTTTAGGTTAAAGTATCATCCTATTCCGTCTAAAACCTCATTTATTTTGCCTCCAGCCATAAAACTATAATTTGAAAAATAAACGGGCTTTGAAAAAGTGCTTTTGCCTCTACTCCTACCAAACCCTTTGCTTCTATCCTTTTTCAACGAGGTCCAATACAGCCTTTTCTTGAATTTGCCTTTCAAAATCGCTATACTGCTGACAGACTGCTGCGGCACCTGAAAATACGATTAGGTCTATTTACCCATTACAGAAGGATTCGGTGGGAAGAGCTTTTTTTTTTCTTGATCCAAACAATGACAGCGAGTGTCAGAAGATAAAACTTTTATCTTATCCACTAAAATAAAAATACTTAATACATGTAGATTATTTTCTGTAGCCCTTTCAAGCCTGCTCAGCGCCATCTTTAAAGCCTTTACACAAACCATAGCACTATCTGAACCAAATATGGCTGCCTTCAATCCGATTTCTTTCATATTCTTCCAATCTTCGTAAACAGTCAGAAAACTTGAAAGCAATTTTTAGAATTTACAAATAGCGAAAAATTGTTTTGTCCCTAATTTCAATTTCATTCACACAATTTCTGCTTTCATTTCGGTAAAATACACAATATAACATGCGAACTGTTTTTATCACAAACCTGGATCACTCCAAGAATAACCTCAAGAATTTCCCGGCAGTCGTTTACTCTGACTCTGAAAGTCACACCAGAAAATGAACATAGAATTGCTAAAAAAAAAAAAAAAAAAAAAAAAAAAAAAAA